AATGTTTTAACAGCGCTTTTTAACATGAGTAAAAATAACATTTTATATTTCTCCATTACTATATGACATATATACATGCATATACATAGCCATATATGTGCGTGTGTATAAAAATTCAGATATAAATAAAATATATATCTAAAGACAATATAAATAAAATACAAAAAGAAACCTTCTATGCCAACGCGTTTCGTTCCTTGAGGAAGTTTCTCAAAGCGAGTGGGAAAAGAAATTTCGAAAATGTCAACATATATATATATATATATATATATATGGGTTCATCCTCTGGATTTCGAATTTATAGTTGCGTGCTTTTTCATGACTAATTTAACAGCCGACTTCAAAATATTTATGCATAGTGGATTTTGTTGTGGTATACGAGTTTTGCTCTGGATAAATGTTGTTTTTTTTTGTTTTTGTTTATTTTTTTTTAAGCATTACGCCCCGAGCAAGGCGGGAAGCCACTAGGATGCACGGGGTTGCAGAAGATTTGGAGCAAGATCAGATAGGAGTGATAGAAGAAAGGATGAGGAGAGGGATAGTGGATAGATCAAGGTAACTGGAGATGTCGATTGACATTACATTTGAATAGTTGGAGATTATAGCTCTCAGGGAAACTGTAATAGGGAAGGGTGTTCCACAGGCGAGAGGTGCGAGGTATGAAGCTATTGCAGTAGAAGAGACGGCTACATTTAAAATTTCTAGAGTGAAAGGTTGAGAGCGGGATGCCAGCTTCGTAGGGCGCTTGAATTCATGGAGTGTGGGAACCAGTGAAAGCAGCTCGTCAGAGCTGTTACCATGGAAGTATTTGTAAAAAAGACAGAGAGAGGCGACGGCGCGTCTGTGAGAGAGTGACTGTAGACGAGACGCCAGATCAGGGCCAATTATATTACATATCCGTCTCTGGATCTTGTCAAGAACTCCGAGGTAAACAGAAGGTGCCCCAAACCATATATGGCAGCAATACTCCAATGCAAGGGCGAATGGTCGACCTGTATATTTGAAGTATCAATTCCGGGGAGAAAAATTTCCTGGAGCGGCACAGAGAGACAACTTTCTTCATCGGTGGACGAAGCAATTGACTCAATGTATTTGTTCCATCTCAGGTCAGCAGTCAACGTGAGACCGAGCAGATGCAGGGAGTTGCTCTCAAGAAGTTGACTATCAGACATTCTAATGGGGAGCAGGGAAGGATCTCTATGGTGATTAATAGAGAGTAGTTTAGTTTTTGAGGCGTTACGAGTTTTACTCTGGATAAATGTGTTAGTAACAAAGAAAAAGAGGCTTAATGCTGACGAACCTGACTACCATTTTGGCACGATCTACGATAACAAACACCAAAAAGCTCCTCTCCGAAGTCTACTGTTTTTATGTTCACTCAGTAAAAGGTTCTATGGCAATTAACGTTTACTGTTAAAATGATTATAATGACCGGGGTGTGATATCAGGAAAGAGGCAGATGGCCGCCCAGTCAGTTAAGTGCGATATCTGATAGACGCTTGGGTAATCATGTCTCTTTTGATTAATGACTGACGAGGCAGATGATTTTCTAGCAGTAGTTTGCCATTTCCTTCTGAAATAGAATGGTTGCGAACCAACGATATAGGAACCAATCTGTTTTTCTATTCAACATATAGCTGGTGGAGGGGAAAATGTAGCGATGGATATTTATGTGTAAGTGAGTGCAATAAACCCGACTGGAATTTGAACACTGCTCTTCGATTTGTCATTCCGAGCAGTTATTCATTAAACCCCAGCGCAGAAGGAAAGGAAATTACAAAGATAAGAACAAACATGTAACCCCCTGATTGAAACGTCAATCATTATCTATCCCGGTTGTAGATTTATGGACAGTCGTGCATTTACTGGATGTATACAGTCTTTTAATCGGCTGAAAAATCTTTGTCAGCATTCAGGCACCAAGAAATCGAAGATTACAGCCTTGATGCCAAAGCTACCAAAAGAAGTTGAGAAAATGGCAATCATTTACCATTGCGAGTTCTATTCTACGAAGTCCACTGTTTCCGGTCTCGAGGATTATTTATCCTCTTTCTAATGAAGTGGTCTGTCTTATCTGCAAAACACAGTCCCATAGAAAATAGTTTTCGAAAGATGACAAGAGATACGCTCACTGGTCATACGGATAATCCACTCTTGAGGAGCGAAGAAAGGCTATCATGGTTGCATAGGAGAACATCCCTCAATCTACGCTCTCTAAATTGCCAATCTTGGTGACAGGTTAAATCGCACAGGTTTTGCTGATTTCATGCTTCCCTTCAAAATTTTAAATGCAACATCAATCGCCAACTACTGCCTTCTTGAATTCTGTTCTTTTATTTTTCCTTTCTCCTTACTAAAGTCTCCTCATTCATTTTCCAGCAACTCCTTGCGTTTTAGTGGCATTATCGCCTTGCTTTGGTTGAAATGATAAAAAAAGGTATCGCCATAAATTAATAACATATTTTTTAATTAATACTTAGATCATGCAAGATAAAAAAAAGCGTGCTGTACAGTTTTAATAATTACGTGGCTGTAGGTTTTCAGATGTTTTATTAAATCAAAATTAAATGTCCCAAAATGAAGAATAATTCAAATTTACAACCAAGTAGAATATAAGTAAAAAGTAAATTTAGAAACATTTTATAAAATATATCTGGAATAAACTTTAAGCAAAAAATTCCTTTTTTGTGTAAATTTGCGAGGCTTTTATTGACTTTTAAACTGATTTTTCCTCTTCGAAGATCTTAATTTAATTTTTTCATTTATAATAAATAAGTTCCATATCATATCGTATAAAACACACACACGCAAAACACACAGACATACACACACAAACGCACTCACGCACACAGACTCACAAACACGCGCTCGCACACACACACACATATATATTACATACTTGTGGATATTCAATGAACTATATATATATATATATATATATATATATATATATATATATATTAAATATTGCTTGATACATGCAGTTTTGTGTTTAGTGCAAAAAGTTTTACAAACGAATACACATACATATATATATATATATATATATATATATATATATATATATATATAATTAAGAATTACACATATACCGACGTTTCCAGTATGACTCAGATTTTCATAAATTTTCCAATCATCAGGTACAAAAAGTTAGGAACTGTTCAATACTCTTGATATTTTTTTAATTTCTATTTCTCATGAGAGAAACGCTACATTGCATGTGGCTTCAAAATTCAAGATTATTATAAATATAAAATAGTATTGGGGTGTTAATTCAAAATAGAAAGTGTTGCTAGGTAGATATCAAAAAAATAATCTAAGTTATTAAAGTTATTTAATAATAATAATTTAATATTTGTTTAATATTACATTATGTTGTGCTATATACAGCACAAGGTTTTTTAGTACAGCTCTTGCTAATTTTAATGTTGTTCTAATTGTTGAAAAGTATTTCAAATAAGAAAGAATCTAATAAGAAAGAATTTTATTTAAAATAAGAAAGAATTCAACCTTCACTCAGGAATTTGAAATAATTTTCACAAATCACTAAAGTCTAGTCTATTTCTAGTAATAAAGATATTTTCGACAAATATAAAACTAAATATGTAGATACACTAACAGAATCAAACACAAAGTCAATCCTCAACAATAATAAGACTGACAACAAAACGCATAAACACAGATAAGACAACATCATTTGGTTTGAACCACGGTATAACGATAATGTCAAAGCCAACATGGGTAAAATTGTTCTAAATTTAAGCGATAAACATTTCAACAATATTCTATTCCGGGTATTACGATCATAAAATGACTCTTACCAATAAGCAATATTCAAATATCACGGCATTCCGTAAATTTTTCTGGGAAATCTAGAGAGAAAACTACACACAAGTAGTAAATTGGGATCTCATCGATATAACAAAACCTTTTAACCTCAACAATGTACTCTGTGTCTATTAGAAAAAAACGAACTATTCCCCAAAACATCGATAATGGTAATCTGCTGAACAAACGAAATGAGCTCATGATTACTTGCAACCATAAAAGGAAATCTCTTCTCGAATATTTCGATGCTGGCTAGAACAATTATCCTATTATCTCTGCAATACCACAAAAGACCTGACCCTAATATTTCCTTTTACTTTTTTTCCATATCCAGTTACTTCCCTTACATCATCCTAGCGTTTAACGATTTTAATTTAGGGTTTCTTTTTTTTATAATTTTTTATTTTTTTATTTTCTTTACACTATATTCTCTTTTTTTTTTTTGCCTACTCACGCTATCCATTTGGTAACTACCAACGTTTTTTCGGGGTTCTATAGCCTTGGATGGCAACTGGTCTAGGAGAAGAACAACTCTGAATTCAAAACCTGCGGAATGTCGTTTGGGGACATTGTGGCACTTAGTGCACCAGGTCTCTGTATTCGGTCCTTCAAAAAATGTGGATGATCCTGCACGAAACCTTCACCACTATAATGAAATCCCATTTGCTGTTGTCGGGATATCGGTTTCCTGGAACTGATCTGCTTGACTCTCATACTACTATAGTCAAAGTAGATTATATTATGCGTTAACAGAATACATATTAACAAATTAATATCCATACTAAACTTACTATTAATAATTTAGTTTATTTTTCGATATCCACCTACCAACACTCTATATTTTGAATTTATACGCCAATACAATTTTATATTTATAATAATCTTGAACTTTGAATCCACACGCAATATAGCGTTTCTCTCATGAGACCAAGAAATTAAAAAATAACAGCCATATTGAACGGTTCATACCTGATGATTAGCAAAGCTATGAAACTCGTACTCTAAACGTAGCTATTTGTGTAATTATTAATATATGCTTTATAATTCTGCTTTACTACATTGAGCACTGTTTTGTTTACACCATTGATTAAATAAATAGTTATTTGCTCACCTGTATGTGTATTCAATCGCTCATATGTATGCTCATTGATCGTATATTTTTTAGATCATTTCTATAGATAGATAGATAGATAGATAGATAGATTTTTAAAGTATTTCGACATAGATATAAAGAGACAGATATGGTCAGACTCAGATAAACATGAATATAGATAGATAGATAGATAGATAGATAGATAGATAGATAGATAGACAGATAATGAACAGAATGACATAGATAAATAGATCGATAATGAACAGAATGACATAGATAGATAGATAGATAGACAATGAACATAATGAGATAGATAGATAGATAGATAGATAGATAGATAGATAGATAGATAGATAGATAGATAATGAACAGAATGACATAGATAGATAGATAGATAGATAGATAGATAGATAGATAGAGTTTCGTATTTATAAAAAATGAAGCCCTGTGCTAGTAAAGTTATGAGCTCCCTTACTTGGGCCCTGAAGGGGGTAAGCCTTGAATGCCTACACAAACATGGAAGATTGGAGATCCTGGACAATGGGGGCCTGTACTTAAGTAAACCTAAGCGTAATGGTAAATCCGGCACTAGATAGATAGATAATGAACAGACCGAGATAAAGTCAAATAGATATCTTTAGAGACTGAGTTATGTATATTCTAAGTTTATCAAAGTCTGGCACTAGGAAAAATTTGGAGTTCTAAGTTATCATACCGCTAACTTAAATATCAGTTGTCTCAGCCAATATATAGATAACCTTTACTTTAAAGACCTTTCAGGCATTTACAATTTTTAATCCACTAAGCTTCGAATGGATTAAAGCGTTGGTTCATAAATTCCCTGTAGGTTGCCTGGCTCTATATACACCTGATGCAGGCCGGAGGACACAACGGCCGAAATGTGTTCATAACAACAAAAAGTTGAGGTAAATAATCCGAATGTAAATAATGATAACTCCTCATCACAGAGAGGATTCACACCTTTCCCAAGGGTATTAGCACGTAAGTGAATGTAATGGATCTCTCCGATTCCTCAATCCAAGCCGCTACTCCACCGAGCCTCATATATATATATATATATATATATATATATATATATATATATATATATATATATATATATATATAACTAAATTATGCACACTGTGAGATAGCAACAATACTTAAAAATAAAATTTATACCAGTAATTATTACAATATATTGTGTTAAAATCCGTGCTAAGAACTTTTTGCTGTACGTCTTAAGAATTTCAGCAGACGATTTTTTTCCTTTGCCTTCTCCCTTAAAGGAATCCCTTTACGGGATCAGTTTGACACATCCAATGTGGCTACATATCTGTTCCTGTATATACCGTCCATATTTAAATAAAAATTCTGCATTGTTTATTTCTGCGATGCCACCGTCTCTATTTCAATAACAAAATAGACCAACCAACCAAGAAAATTATAGTTCTCAAATTTAGAATTTTAGCCAGTTTCTCTGTCTTACTCATAAATAAGTTCGAACACACACACAAACATATATTTTATTCCTAATATTGCCTTTCCTAACAGAATTAATACTCTCCCAAGCAAACGTACACAACTTTACCAAGAAATCAAAATAAAATGGTTGAATCCGTCAACAGAACAATATTTCCACACGTGATTGTACTTTTCAGTTGACAATATGAATACAGTGTAACCAGGATATAAGAGACCCGGATATAAGAGAAACCCGGATATAAGAGAGATTTTCTCTGGTCCCAAATTAGAGCCTGTGTTAGTGTATATAAATTAGACTCAACCCGGATATAAGAGAAATCCGGATATAAAAGAAACCCGGATATAAGAGACTTCTTCTCCGGTCCCGACAACTCTCTTATATCCGGGTTACACTGTACAATGATGTTTTCTAAATTCTTCTACTTTCTAAAGACACTCTGTTGTTAATAGTTACTTTGTTTTCTATAAATTCATATATATATATATATATATATATATATATATATGCCGGGTGTAAGAGTAAAATTGAACAAATAATGTAAAAGCATAATTGTTCATCCCCAAAAATGTTTAATATCTAAAAAAAATACACTATACTAATTGTGTTTTTTCCAGGTTTTCAAATAAGACGTTTAGTCATCTTGGCGCCATTTGTCGTAAGAATCACTGAAAACCCCTTTCAGTTATTCAGTTCGAAAGAGAAAAGTTTAAAATCGTTTTGCGTCAGTCTTTCAAACTGAGCAATGGTGAGAGGAAAAAGATCATTCGAGCCTTCTGTAATCGTACAAACATTCATACTCTGGCTTCCCTCTGCAAAGTCCATTCAAGGACCATCAAGAGAACAGTGAATAAGTTTAAAATAGAAGGAAGAATGGATAGTAAAAATAGACCAGGAGGTCACAACAGGAAGAGGCATCATGATTTCAACTTAACTTCGACCTAAGACATCAATTAAAAAATCCATCTTAATCATGTGAGAATAGGGTTTCAGCTATGGCAGTCCAAAGAGCAGTTAAAAATGTCTTGAAAATGAAATCATACGTGAAAAGTGTGAGGCACCTTGTTACTCCAGAACAGAAAGAATTTCAGAAATGGCGAAGTTCATCTTGAATAAATTGCAAAATGATACTAGAATAATATATATATATATATATATATATATATATATATATATATATATATATATATATTTGAATTTAATTTCAATGCTTCCGATCCTTAGCTATGATTAATTAATGATGAACCTGTCATTTTATACATTCTTATTGCTCAATCTAGAGTTCAGTAGTGTTAAAAAAAAACTTGGAGAAAGAGAAGGTTAAAATCGTTTTGTACCAGCCCCACTATTTTCCCAAATGAACAATGGTGAGAGGAAAAAGATTATTCAGGTCTTCAGTAAAAGTACCAATATTCATAATCTGGCTTACATCTTTAAAGTCCATTCAAGAGCCATCAAGAGAACAGTGAATCAGTTTTAAAAAAGGGGGAACAGTAGAGAAGAAAACTGGATCAGGAGGTCACAACAACAAGAGGGATCATCATTTCAAAATGGAGATAAAGAGATCAATGAGAAAAGATCCAACACAATTCATAGGACGTTTGGTACGTGAGAGAGGAGTTTCATTTATGACACTCCAAAGAGCAGGGAAAAAAGACTTGAAAATGAAATCGTACGTGAAACGTGTGAAGCACCTTGTTCCTCTAGGACAGAAAGTTAGAAGGTTAAAGAGGGCAAAGATCATCTTGTATAAGATGGAAAATCCTCCTGAATATATATATATATATATATATATATATATATATATATATATATATATATATAGTGTAACCCGGATATAAGAGTGTTGTCGGGACCGGAGAAGAAGTCTCTTATATCCGGGTTTCTCTTATATCCGTTTGGTCTATTTTGTTTATGTAAGTATGGGAACACTTCATATAACGCTTTTTACGTACAGATCACTAGTTTATTTAACAGTTATAGACATAAAAAAAAAACACAGACAAAAATACATTTTCAATCAGTTTTTAAAATAATTCAATCAAAAATTACTTTTTCTTAAAAAAGTCAGTCATTTTTTATTGTACAGAAATCTCTTTGTTAACATCATGAACACTTTCATACAGTCCGTAAATCGTTTTCAATGCGTCATCAGGATTACTGCTTTTTGCTTCAAAGTAGACTGTCAGAGTTTCAAGCGCATTCAATCCAGCCAGAGAATTTGGCACTGGTTTGTCACTTTCAGAAACTTCAGAACTTACGCTTTCAGCATCATCATCTTCGTCAAAATCTTGATCATCCGATTTTATACCACGTGTGATGTCCGTGTCAGTCAGTTCTCCATAACATTATGTACGGTCGTCGAAGCTGATAAATTTGCTCGATGCCCGATGGTGGAAAAACTTGATCATTTTCGTCAAGTATTTCTTCCACTTCAGCCTGTGATTCAATGACAAAGCCGGCCTTTTTAAAACAATTTTGAATTGTTGACGGTTTGACCATGAAAAGTGCTCGCTTCATCATGTGCATGGCCTTCGTTGATTCGCCGTGAAATTTTTTGAACGAAACGTTATTGGCCTGCTTCCAGCGCATGAGCCAGCCATTGCTCGGTTGAAAATCAACTTCAAGTTTTACGGCCAGTTGTGATGCTTTCTGCCTGATGACGTGATCGGTGACGGTAGCTCCATGAGCACATGCTTGCGTAAACCATTGTGTAAGCGCTTCGTTAACGTCCTTGTGCACGGATTGGCGCTTTCGTTTGCGATTAGTGTTTCCGTTCATTTGCATGCAAGATCTGAGATCGTCTCCTTTCTTGAGACTTTTTGCTGCTGTTGAATAACCGATTCCGTACTTTTTGGCTGCAGCGGCCAGTTTGAGTTTCTTCACTTTGACATCGTCGATGAGCTCCAACTGTTCAGAAATGCTCAGAGTTTTTCGTTGAGACGCCGACGCCGACATCACTAATCGCAATGATCGCAAGCAAACGGTTTTCAGTGGCAAATTAACAAACAGACAAACTTCTGACTCAACAGAACAGTGGATAAAGTGAAAGTGATGTCCAGTAAAGTAAAGCGAAGTCGACAAAAAAGCGGGCGGCGCTACCCTTAGACACACATAGCAAAATCATAAGGTAGAGGATGTCTCCTGCAGACACAGACCGTGTCTCTAGACTAGTCAAGATTAAGTTATTGAACTTCACTCTCTCTCTAACTGACCTCTGTTTGACCGATTTACGACATCACACTGTCACTCAAAACGAACTCTCTTATATCGGGGAGGACGGGACCAGAGAAAATCTCTCTTATATCCGGGTTTCTCTTATATCCGGGTCTCTTATATCCGGGTCTAATTTATATACATTAACACAGGCTCTAATTTGGGACCAGAGAAAATATCTCTTATATCCGGGTTTCTCTTATATCCGGGTCTCTTATATCCGGGTTACACTGTATATATATATGAACTTCATTTCAATCCTTCATAAGTTTCCGATCATTAGCTATGATTAATTAATGATGAACATATCATTTTCATTTATGATCGATTTCATTACAATTCTTCTGTTAAGCTTGGAGAGTAACTATACATTCTTATTGATCAAAGTAGAGTCCAGTAGTGTTATAAAAACCTCGGAGAAATCCATTAAGATATCTTTAATCATTTCTATAATACAACGTTTCAAATCTTAATCTAACAATTGAACAATGTTGCTGTCGCACCATCCGGGCAATTTTGCCGATACACCAAGTGTATACATTCGGTCCACACATGATGATTCTATCTTGCGCGAAACGCGGAGAGCTTTAGCTTTTTATATAGTCAACACAGTTTTATTACTACTACCACTCAATGTGTGATACTTTATATATATACAGGGTGTTTCAAAAAATTTGATATCCTTTGAGATGTAAATATCACAGAAAGTACATGATTAAGACAAATGAAATTAAAAAGTATTAATGTTGAAGATCATAAGATTTATTCTTCCAAATCTGAATGAGAAATTCAAAAGCATGTGGATTATGTGAACGATTTCACCAATGTTCAATATGCGCACCGCCTGAGACACGGCATACGTCGTCGGTAATCCAGCTCCTGCCAAACACGCTGAAGCATATCTTGGGTAACAGTCTCCAGTGCTGTATTGATTCTCTGCTTCAGTTCTTCTATGTTTGCAGGAAGAGGGGGAACATACACCATTCCCTTCACGTAGCCCCAGAGGAAAAAGTCACAAGGTGTTAAATCAGGTGAACGGGGCGGCCATTTCAGCAACACACTGTCTTTAACACAAGCACGCCCGATCCATAAAGACATAAAAACATAAAACAAACATTAAACATAAAGATGCTATTAAAATTTGAAGTCATTTGAAGGAGATCTAACAAAGTTATTAGATTGCAAAATGATATCAAATTTTTGAAACACCTATATATATATATATATATATATATATATATATATATATATATATATATATATATATATATATATATATATGCATGTGTGTGTGTGTAATTTATATCTATTGCTGTATTTATTTATAGTGGTCTGTTTAGAGCTTGACATTTAAAGGTTAGTCCTTGTGATACAGTTGAAGTACTGTTGTTAGTCTAAGCACTCATTCACTTACATTTTCCCCTCGTAGTCATCTTGACATGACAGAGATATAATATATTTTTTCTTGGTGAAGCAATAGAATAGAATAGAGGCCATACATACGTTTAAACAGATTCATGTGTATGCATGTGAGGTGCGACTGCTATTCTGTTGTCCATATAGGTACGCCGGTGTATATGTGCGTGGTTGAATTTAATTCTATTCAGTTGAGTCTTAAAAACAAATCCTATTTATTCCGTCCCAAAATACGAATAAATATTATTTCGGCTTTGTTTTTTGTTTTTTTTTTTAATCCAAGATTCGTGTTGGCTCTTTAGTTTAAACTTAGGAAATGAAATGTAATCGATTTGCTAAAATGAAAGACATTATTCGGGATTATTCTGACGAAATCTATTTCTAAAATCCCCGATATATGTGTCGTGATATGAATTCCTTTTTAGTTCTGAGAACCAAACATACAGAATCCGATGAAAATCCTTTTTTTTCATGGAAGTAGTTAAACAAAAATAAGTGAATCTCAAAAACAGTTGCAGACATCAGGGGATGCCTATGTTTCTACATCAGTTAGATTTACAACTTTATTTTTAATAAATGATTGATGTGAAATATCATAAACAGCAAAGATTGTGAAGGTAGAAGATATGTAAGCCAGTTCGATAGTGAATTATTTTTTTTTTTTTGTTGGATAGGCGCTGAGAAAAATAAAACGGGTATATCTAAAGAAATTATAAATACTTATTATGAAAGTTATAATTTTCATATTAATTAGGTGAAAGACTCCTTCCTCCCTCCCATCATTCTGGCTGATGCTAAGATCCATGAAAGCTAACATTCACGGCTGACACGAAGCTGGAAGATTATATTGAATCCATTGCTCGATCTACTGCTAGAGAAGTTGGTTCACTCCGGAATCTTACCTTACATATTTATAAGCCGACCATTATTCCATGTTTTGAATATTACTGCTGCATATGACCCGGTGGTCCTGCTGTATATATAAAGATTCTTGATAAAAACCAAAGAAGAATCAGCAATATTGTTGGTCCTGATCTGGCATTTCGGCTTTATTTACTTTCCCACCGCCGTAATGTACCTTTTCTATAAATACTTTTCTAGTAAGTCTTCGCTATGGTACACAGACTAAATTTAGGTGCAGTACTAGACTGGTGGTAAGGTCTCATCAATTCGCAGGTGAATTGACTAGATGCCACTGTAAGTTCTGTGCTAACAGTTTCTTCTCTTGCACTCACTTCTCGCTAGTTGAAGTCTCTTTCGGCTTCAGGCGTTCCAGTAAACTTTGATCTTGAAAAATTCAAATCTCATATCAGTCGTTATTTACTGTCATCATGATTTCCATCCCATTGTTCTTGCTCCTTAATAAAGCGTCTTTATTTTTCTTATTCTTTCACACTCAGTAACCCCTTGTGTCATAGTACCTTTACTGCCTCGCATGGGGTGAAATGATATTTCTAAATGTTAAGAAAAGTATAAAATATAATTTAAAATTTTATTAATTTTTTATTTAAACAGTATCTTTCTTAATATTATTTTTCTAAGTCTTTTTCTTCGCGATAAATGGTCATATGTTACAAGAACTAAATATTTTACTAATCGAAATGAATCGTGATATTAGAATTGATTCGATAATTCTTTTACAGAATGCCTAGTAAATAAAATGGCAAATTTATTTGGCAAGAAAATACACCAGCTCTAACTTGGCCATCTTAGTGACCCTCTAAAAGCTCAGATGTGAATGTTATGGATTAATGTATCTGGTGTCTACTCTTATCTCACTTGAAAATCGTCGTGACATCATCGATATCGATTCATTGAAGTGGAACTTAACTGAAGCTTGAAATGAAATTCCTCTTGACACTATCCGCTACTGCCTCCTGGTTAAAACGTTTACAACTTTGTGTTGAATATTCAGGCAAAAATGTTCAACATCTACTACGATGACTGTTCAGTTTGTACACGAATCATAATTGCTAAATAAATTTCTTTCTGAATTTAAAGCTGGGGACCCTATAGATGATTTAAGCTAAATACATTTAACGATTTTAGTGTGTGTGTGTGTGTTATTTTCTATTTTAATGTTAATTTTTTATGTAATTTTAATTTTAGTATTATATATTTTATAGCGTTACTTATTTTCTAAAATATTCCAAATGTTTATTACGATTCACAGGGAAATACCGAGTTCCCCGGCTATAATTATTTTTGGTAGCGTTTTTTTTTTCCCTCAGTTAGTTGTGTGCCATACGTGATAACCGCTTAGGCGATCATGTATCTTTCGATACATGACTGATGAGGCAGATTTTTTTTTTCCCGCAGTAGTTGGCCATTTCATTCTGCGGCAGACAAGTTGCCATCCAAGGTTATAGAACGCGGTCTGTCCTGCTATTTACCCATATCTGAGAAGTAGAAGAAGATTCATACCTTTCCCATGGGTATTAGAACATAAGTGAATGTACTGGATTCGACTGGAATTCGAACTCGACTCTCCGATTCCTCAATCCGAGCCGCTATCCATTACGCCACCGTTAATTTTCCCATCTATCCCTACCCCGCTCACTCCTCTGTGTGTATGTGTGTGTGTGTGTGCTGTGTTGGCTTTAGGACCAGGAAAATGACGGCTCTCTATCACTTCCTGTCTTTTTAATTTAAAATATACTTACTCTTTGCGGTATTTGGTATGAAATCCATTTTCCAAAACCTGACAAGATTTCTGGACGTTATTCTTGCCTCTGATTTTTCCCTGTCAGTGTTAATTTCTCCAAACCTTCTTTCCATCGTATGTCTGCCATAAATGTCATCGTTCTTTTTTTCTGATTGTTAGCAACTCTTTGAAAGTACTTCCCGTCCTCCTAAGAAAAAAAAAAAAAAAAAAAAAAAACGCGTCTCTCTCCCACTCTTTTTATTGCTCAATATTCGGTGGTAGCACATCTCATTGATTTCTTCTTCGTCTGTGAGAAAAATGTTTTCCGGCATTCACATGTCAACGAGGAGATTAGATAAACTCTTTTCTTTATTTGCACTCTTTTCTTTATTTATACTGTTTACTTTCTTCGGACTGTTGCCCTCATCTTCGTTGCCATATTTACGATGTTTTGGCCCTTGTACGCTCTGACATTCTTCAGGGTCGGTTAATTTCGAACTGTTCAATACCTTGCTACAGCTGAGGTGAACACACAAAGAAATTTGGAGAGCTGAGACACCCGGAAGAGGTATGGTACCTGGAACGAGAACGATCTATCCCGGTGGACGAAATAAAGGGTTCAGTTCGAAATTCCAATCACCTGAGGAAGGCTGGAGCGTACAACGACCGAGACGTCATTAAT